TGAATAATGGTTTACAATATGTTTCATTATATCCCTCTCCTTCTCGACATTTTCTATCCAGACTTTTGCCTTTCTTGTTTCATCCTTACCACCTACCACTGTCTGTTACTTTGTGATATTAATTGCCGCACCAATTTTCCTCTGGGTGGGTCTCATTGTGACACACTGGCATTTCAGTTGGAGGCTTTTCTCGCCTCTCAACCCCCTCCAAGTTAATTTAAAAATACGTGTACTCCCCACCCATTTTGATCCTCGTATCTCATACTCTCTCTTCATCGATCTATCCAGTCTGCTCTTCCCTCACACTGCAGCACTAGACTTCACCTGGTCTGTTCTACCAGACTACATGGACAGCGATCATTTTCCCATCATTCTTACTTCTCTTCCTATACAACCACCTTTCCGTATCCCACCTGGCAATTTGATTAGGCAAATTGGATCTTACTCACACATCACTGCTTTTAGTGAATGTGGTTCCTCTTTCAAATCCTCCATTGAATGAGCTCTCTACACATCTTCCTCGACACAGTTATACGCAGCTTGCTCATTCAATACCCCAACCACCGAACGTCGTTCGGATTCGCAGCCAGTGTTTCCTTACAGCGTCGTGCGGGGGCATTTACTATATTCTGTCTACATTTTACTGCTGAACTCCATATCTGCCATTCTTGTCAGCACTTATTCGTATCGCATCTATGCCTGTGTCATCATTTGTAGTAGTCTCAGACTCCCTTAGTGCTCTACAGGCTATACGAAAATTTGATACATCTCATCCCCTAGTTCTCCGTATCCAATCTTGGCTACGCGTATCTCTACCAAACATAAAGATATTGTTTTTTGTTGGGTCCCTGGTCATGTCGACGTACAGGGCAATGGACAGGCAGACACTGCTGCGCTGTCAGCAGTGCATGACCTACCAATTTCCTATCGAGGTGTTCCATTTCTGGACTATTTTGCTGCAATAGCTACCCACCTTCGCACCCGTTGGCAACAACGTTGGTCAACTCTGCTCGGTAACAAACTTCATTCTATTAAACCGAGCATAGGTTACTGGCCGTCTTGTCATCATTGCCGAGGTTGGGAGACCACTCTCTCCCGCCTTCGCATTGGCCACACTCGTCTTACTCATGGGTATCTCATGGAGAGGCACCCTGTTCCTCTCTGTGAGCAGTGTCAAGTTCCAGTATCGATTAGCCACATTCTGTTAGACTGCCCTCTCTATCAACGAGCACGCAGAATTTACCTCCAACATCGTCTTCGTTCTACTACTCTCTCTTTAACTTCCCTTCTTGCTGATGGACCCTCCTTTAATCCTGACTCTCTCATTGACTTCTTGACAACGACTGATTTACTCCACAAACTCTGATGATACTTTTCGCACTCCCCTCAGCCCTTTCTAGTTCAGTCTCTTGCTGCCCTTTACCCTTTCATCATCCACTACCCCGCTGTTATCCGTAACCTATTACTCATCCATCTCCCTTTTGCCACCTGATGCCCTCGCTTCCTTTCTGCCCTGCAGCGCTGTATAGTCCTTGTGGCTTAGCGCTTCTTTTTTGATTATAATAATAATAATAATAATTTGACTCCCATTTTAGGCCAATTACATTATTCCAGTCAACCAAATTCTTAGCTATTTCACTAGTATTACTTCTATTCTATCGATTGAGCACAAGAAATCGCCAAGTTAACTGTTTCAACTACAAATTAAGGTGATCAGAAATTGTTAATTTGGCCAATTTAACACAAAGTTCAAAATATTCCAATTTCAAAATAGGGTCCAGAATAAACAATGTAGGTATTCCTGGAACTAAACTAACATTTCCTCTGTTCATTAGTTAAGTTTTGATGCTTTACAAATAAATTCCATTTTGATTTTTTATTCACATAATGAATTTTTATTCACACCAAAAAATAGAAGATTTATTGTTATGCAATACTGTAATAATTGTATAAATATCATCACCATATTTGTGAATGCATATTAGACCTACCAGCTGGCGTGTATTAGACGTATGAGGTCGTTTGTTTACTCTTGAATATCGGCAAAAATTTAATATTTCTGCTACTTTGAGCTCAGTTTTAAGCCATTTCCAGTGCTAAAACCAATCAAAATCATCTCTATTTCTGTAATATGTCTTCCATTCTATCAAATGAGACCAAGAAATCGCAAATAGAACTATAAAAGACATATGAAAAAACACTGCAAAGTCGCTGTTTTAATCGAAAAATCATGATTTCAGTTTTTTCTCTCATTATACACAGCGTGCTGCAGGATCTGTTTTATGTGGTGCACACACACCACATAGATGTATTCTCTTATATCTAGGCCCAAATGTATCACTCACAGTTGATCAGAGTGAACTGAGCTCATGGTTTGGACCCTGAACGTAAAGCCGTAGAGCTACGGGACGGACCCTCAAAGGGTTAATACCATAATCTGTAAGGATTTAATGTTAAGAATTAATGTAAGTCTGCCCAAAATGCCTAGCCATGCTAGGTGTCCTAGTGGGCCCCCTCTGTAATTAGTATTTTATAACATGTAAACCCCACATTGTAATCCTTATTGAGAATAAAATTGAATTGAATTTGTTTACTTTTGAACATCGGCAAAAATCAAACATTTCCCCTACTTTGAGCTCCATTTCAAGGTTCTTTTCATAGTAAAACCAATCAAAATCACCTCTATTTCTATAATATGTTTTCCATTCTATCAAATGAGACCAGGAAAACGAGAATACAATCATAAATACTATAAGAAAATTGACCACAAAGTCGGCGTTTTAATTAAAAAAGAAGTCTGATTTTTTTTCTCATTATGCACTGCTTGCTGCAGGGTATTTTTTATATGGTGCACACTGACCACACAAACCCATTCTCTCACATGTGGGCCTACCAGTTTTCTCCTGCTTGATTTGAAGCCGCTAGAATTTGACTATACATGTATATACATCAAACACGGTGGCTCATAAGACATATATATACGACTGAAACAGTCAAAGGGTTAACTTTTCCCATAATTAATGTACCCCATAAGTACAAGCAAGACTTAGCCATGCACCTCTTTGCAACTTGTCACTTCTTGATGACTTTGAACTTGATTATGTTGAAAATGGTATAAAATACCATCAAGTTGATGAGTAAGATTAAAAAAACCCACCCATTTCCACCCACGTATTGTTTCACTTTTTCTCCAAGTTACCCAAGAAATTGCTTCAGAACCTCAGCTACTAGTCAGACCCAGCACATTTTACTTGTATATTTAACCAATCACTTTTTAAAGCTACCCAAGATCATAGCCTCTATTTCCCTACTCGGCAGATTATTCCATGCATTGACAACTCTGTTTGAAAGTCGGTACTTGCCTATGTCCTTTCTAAATCAAAGTTTATCTGATTTAAAATTGTTATTTCTGGTTCTTGCTTCAACATCCTGAGTACTATTATTTATATTGCCTTTGTTTATGCCCATTATCTACTTAAAAACTTCAGTGATATCTCCTCTCCTCCTACATCTCTCAAGAGTGAAGACTCAGGACTAAGTTTGTCTTCAAATGGGAGATTCCTTATACATTGGATAAATTTTGTCATTCTCTTTGAAGTTCTCCAGTGAATTTACATTCATTCTGTAGCATAGTGACCAAATCTTGCCTTATAATCCGGGTGAGGTCTTACTAGTGGTGTATAAAGCTGTAAAATAACTTTTGGACTCCTGTTAGTTATACTTGATGTAAATCCTAGTAATCAGTTAGCCTTATTGCGCACACTTAGGCATAGTTGTCTTGGTCTTAGATTTCTGCTTACCATGGCTCCCAAGTTTTTTTTTTTTCGCATCCTGTGTGTTCGATCTTTTACATCACTTAGCTTTTGACCATAAGTGTTATTCTTGTTCCCAAGGACTAGGACTTTACACTTGTCCACATTGAACTGCATCTGCCATTTTTCAGACCATGACTAATTTGTGTAAATTCTGCTGAAGTTCATCTTTGTCCTCCTCAGAATCTGTTATTTGGCCTATTTTTCCATCATCAGTGAATTTACAGTTGGGTATCTTAATTATTGAAACATTTCACCTACACAGTAGACTTCTTCAGTTTGATACAGAGTATAGGTTGAAGACAGCAGAAGTGACAAGGTTAAGATGATGCAATCAGGCCATCAACCTTGAAGAAGTAATTTGAGGTTGTCTGTCAAGCTATTTCTACAAGGTTGATGGACTGATTACATCATCTTTACCATGTCACTTTTACTGTCTTCAACCTATACTCTGTATCTGACTGAAGAAGACTATTGTGCAGGCAGAAAGTTTCAGCAATAAAGATGCCCAACTGTTACACATGTGTTTTATTCATCATCATTTGATTATATTGTGTTGTACCAGTACTCACCTAATTGTACTCGCCTAATTGTGGCTGCAGGGGTTGAGACTCAGCTCCTGGCCCTGCCTCGTTTCTGAACGCTACTAGGTCCTCTCTCTCCCTGCTCCATGAGCCTTATTGTACCTCATCTTAAAGCTATGTATGGTTTCTGCCTCCACTACCTCACTTGTTAGACTATTCCACTTCATGACAACTCTATGACTGAAGAAATGCTTCCTAACATCCCTTTGACTCATCTGAGTCTTCAACTTCCAATTGTGACCATTTGTTTCTGTGTTCCCTCTGTGGAACATCCTGTCTCTGTCCACCTTATCTATTCCACGCAGTATTTTGTATGTCGTTATCACATCTCCCCTAACCCTTCTTTCCTCCAGTGTCGTCAGACCGATTTCCCTCAACCTTTCTTTGTAGGACATTTCCCTGAGCTCCGGAACTAGCCGTGTTGCAAACCTTTGCACTCTCTAATTTCTTGACCTGCTTGATATGTCAGAGTGCAAGTAGGATCAACACACAAAGTATTCTGTTTTTGACTGAACCTTACTTGTAAATCCAGCTTTGACTTCTCTTGTTAATAATCTCATAAGTTATGTTAATATGTATGCTGTAATAATAATAATAATAAAGACTACTAGGTTGACATATGTAATATGGGCTTTACAAGAATAATGCTATGTACAAACTTTACTTATTCATATTCATGTAATTTGTTTTTAAATACATTTGTGATTGCTGCAGACAGGTCAGACATAAGTGGGAAGCTGCACATGATGGTAACAAAGATGATTAGTAGCAACCCAGAATTTTGGACCATTGTAGATGTTGGGAGCTGGCTTGAAGGACAAGGCTTTGCACAGTATAAAGCAGCATTTACTCACCACAAGATCAATGGAGAAGTGCTGTTGATGCTTACTGAGAAGGATCTCAAGGAAGATCTCATGATAAAAGTGAGTGTCTGCTTGCAGCCCTTTGCTTCCCACCTACTACCACTCAGAGTATTGTTTGTGCAGCATATTTTCTTGTAGAGATGTAGGTGCTTGCAGTTGTATTTTATAAATCATCTTACCTTATCAATATTGAGGAAGCAGCAGTACTATAGTTACAACCTTTATGGCTTCGGTATTTTCCATCAATATACTCTTCAAGGGGGGAGGGAGGGGAGACATGACAGTGGTGAAGTGCTCTTGATTTAAGTAAAGGGAGATGACCTGCCCTTGAATCAAACCTGATTACTACCATTCCTCATGTATTGTATGTCCCCCATGCCTTTAGTGCTCTATGAAAATAATTATTAAAATCAAACCTGCCAGCTTCACTTTCACCTACCAATACTTCAAGATCATCACAGTCTTAATGGTGAGCTTTCACTTGGTAGTCTTCTTAATCCATAAGTTTTTTCTTAATATGCAGCATATTTTGCAAGAAAATAATGCTAACTAGAAGATACTTTAATCCAGATCCTCGGAGATTTGAAGAGGTTGCATGCAGCTATAAGAAGACTGCAGCATGCACACAGTCCCTTGGAGCCACTAAATTCTTCCAAGACTGCCCCTATGACTGCAAGTTCACCATTGTCAAACCTCAACAATCACAATCTTCACCCACCATCACCACATGCACCCAACACTACTCACACCAGGTCCAGGTGAGCCTTTAAATCACCCATTGCTAGAATGCCGTCATTTTTGCTATGTTGTACAAGTTGTAATTTTATAATAGCCCTACAAGTTTATAAAACTCATTTTCTTTGCCCATGTTTAATCTGTTTAATTATTTTTTAAATTTAGCATTGTTTAAGTTTAAACTGAGTTTCGCTGAAAAACTTAAATTTTCGCAGTGGTTTGTTTGTTTTTTATCTCATTAGTATTTACTAACTAATAAATTTTTTCAATATTTTTATAGCCACTGGAAATTAATTGTTCTTAGCCTCTTACTCTTTGATCTGTCGTTTGGGGGTTTGAGCCTACCACTTGCCCTCTAGTTTTACACTTAAAGTGTTTTGAAGAAATGTTTATTGAACCCCTTCTCAAGTAATGCGACTATGCCCCTTTAATTTGTATGTAAAGAAAAAGTACAAAAGTGAAATAATGTACTTTTTTTTGGACAACGTTTGCTTCCGGGAGCTTTGCAACCCATTCAAACAATACAGGGCACAGAGGGTATATAAAGGGCTCAAGTGAGGTGCAATACTAGTAGGTACCATTTCAAGTTCACTTGGGGTAGAGTATAGTAGTGACAAAAGAATACAATATGGTAGAGCAATTAATTTCGTACAGGGTAGAAGGATATAAAGCTATTATTTGGGAAAACAAAAAATAGGTTACAAATATAGAGGAAAGGGCGGGTTTTTTCAGTGTTACTCCTTAATGTGCTTTTGTTTTATTTACAGGAGAGACAAGTGGGGGCGGGGTTTAGTTTTCAGGGGATTCTTGCTAAGACTTGGGAGATTTTAAAGCTCTTTATTTTTTTTTTTATTTCACCCCGGCCGATTCCCACCAAGGCAGGGTCCCCGAAAAAGAAAAACTTTCACCATCATTCACTCCATCACTGTCTTGCCAGAAGGGTGTTTTACACTACAGTTTTTAAACTGCAACTTTTAACCCCCCCTCCTTCAGAGTGCAGGCACTGTACTTCCCATCCTCCAGGACTCAAGTCCGGCCTGCCGGTTTCCCTGAACCCCTTCATAAATGTTACTTTGCTCACACTCCAACAGCACGTCAAGTATTAAAAACCATTTGTCTCCATTCACTCCTATCAAACACGCTCACGCATGCCTGCTGGAAGTCCAAGCCCCTCGCACACAAAACCTCCTTTACCCCCTCCCTCCAACCCTTCCTAGGCCGACCCCTACCCCGCCTTCCTTCCACTACAGACTGATACACTCTTGAAGTCATTCTGTTTCGCTCCATTCTCTCTACATGTCCGAACCACCTCAACAACCCTTCCTCAGCCCTCTGGACAACAGTTTTGGTAATCCCGCACCTCCTCCTAACTTCCAAACTACGAATTCTCTGCATTATATTCACACCACACATTGCCCTCAGACATGACATCTCCACTGCCTCCAGCCTTCTCCTCGCTGCAACATTCATCCCCCACGCTTCACACCCATATAAGAGCGTTGGTAAAAACTATACTCTCATACATTCCCCTCTTTGCCTCCAAGGACAAAGTTCTTTGTCTCCACAACTCCTAAGTGCACCACTCACTCTTTTTCCCTCATCAATTCTATGATTCACCTCATCTTTCATAGACCCATCCGCTGCACACGTCCACTCCCAAATATCTGAATACGTTCACCTCCTCCATACTCTCTCCCTCCAATCTGATATTCAATCTTTCATCACCTAATCTTTTTGTTATCCTCATAACCTTACTCTTTCCTGTATTCACCTTTAATTTTCTTCTTTTGCACACCCTACCAAATTCATCCACCAATCTCTGCAACTTCTCTTCAGAATCTCCCAAGAGCACAGTGTCATCAGCAAGAGCAGCTGTGACAACTCCCACTTTATGTGTGATTCTTTATCTTTTAACTCCACGCCTCTTGCCAAGACCCTGCATTTACTTCTCTTACAACCCCATCTATAAATATATTAAACAACCACGGTTGACATCACACATCCTTGTCTAAGGCCTACTTTTACTGGGAAAAAATTTCCCTCTTTCCTACATACTCTAACTTGAGCCTCACTATCCTCGTAAAAACTCTTCACTGCTTTCAGTAACCTACCTCCTACACCATACACTTGCAACATCTGCCACATTGCCCCCCTATCCACCCTGTCATACGCCTTTTCCAAATCCAAAAAATGCCACAAAGACCTCTTTAGCCTTATCTAAATACTGTTCACTTATATGTTTCACTGTAAACACCTGGTCCACACACCCCCTACCTTTCCTAAAGCCTCCTTGTTCATCTGCTATCCTATTCTCCGTCTTACTCTTAATTCTTTCAATTATAACTCTACCATACACTTTACCAGGTACACTCAACAGACTTCTCCCCTATAATTTTTGCACTCTCTTTTATCCCCTTTGCCTTTATACAAAGGACTATGCATGCTCTCTGCCAATCCCTAGGTACCTTACCCTCTTCCATACATTTATAAATAATTGCCCAACCACTCCAAAACTACATCCCCACCTGCTTTAACATTTCTATCTTTTATCCCTCAATCCCGGCTGCCTTACCCCCTTTCAATTTTAACCTACTGCCTCACGAACTTCCCCCACACTCACAACTGGTCTCTTCCTCACTCCTACAAGATGTTATTCCTCCTTGCCCTATACACGAAATCACAGTCTTCCCTATCTTCATCAACATTTAACAATTCCTCAAAATATTCCCTTCCATCTTCCCAATACCTCTAATCTCTCCATTTAATAACTCTCCTCTCCTATTTTTAACAGACAAATCCATTTGTTCTCTAGGCTTTCTTAACTTGTTAATCTCACTCCAAAACTTTTTCTTATTTTCAACAAAATTTGTTGATAACATCTCACCACTCTCTCATTTGCTCTCTTTTTACATTGCTTCACCACTCTCTTAACTTCTCTCTTTTTCTCCATATACTCTTCCCTCCTTGCATCACTTCTACTTTGTAAAAACTTCTCATATGCTAACTTTTTCTCCCTTACTACTCTCTTTACATCATCATTCCACCAATCGCTCCTCTTCCCTCCTGCACCCACTTTCCTGTAACCACAAACTTCTGCTGAACACTCTAACACTACATTTTTAAACCTACCCCATACCTCTTCGACCCCATTGCCTATGCTCTCATTAGCCCATCTATCCTCTAATAGCTGTTTATATCTTACCCTAACTGCCTCCTCTTTTAGTTTATAAACCTTTACCTCTCTCTTCCCTGATGCTTCTATTCTCCTTGTATCCCATCTACCTTTTACTCTCAGTGTAGCTACAACTAGAAAGTGATCTGATATATCTGTGGCCCCTCTATAAACATGTACATCCTGAAGTCTACTCAACAGTCTTTTATCTACCAATACATAATCCAACAAACTACTGTCATTTCGCCCTACATCATATCGTGTATACTTATTTATCCTCTTTTTCTTAAAATATGTATTACCTATAACCAAACCCCTTTCTATACAAAGTTCAATCAAAGGGCTCCCATTATCATTCACACCTGGCACCCCAAACTTACCTACCACACCCTCTCTAAAAGTTTCTCCTACTTTAGCATTCAAGTCCCCTACCACAATTACTCTCTCACTTGGTTCAAAGGCTCCTATACATTCACTTAACATCTCCCAAAATCTCTCTCTCTCCTCTGCATTCCTCTCTTCTCCAGGTGCATACACGCTTATTATGACCCACTTCTCGCATCCAACCTTTACTTTAATCCACATAATTCTTGAATTTACAACATTCATATTCTCTTTTCTCCTTCCATAACTGATCATTTAACATTACTGCTACCCCTTCCTTTGCTCTAACTCTCTCAGATACTCCAGATTTAATCCCATTTATTTCCCCCCCACTGAAACTCTCCTACCCCCTTCAGCTTTGTTTCGCTTAGGGCCAGGACATCCAACTTCTTTTCATTCTAACATCAGCAATCATCTGTTTCTTGTCATCCGCACTACATCCACGCACATTTAAGCAACCCAGTTTTATAAAGTTTTTCTTCTTCTCTTTTTTAGTAATTGTATACAGGAGAAGGGGTTACTAGCCCATTGCTCCCGGCATTTTAGTCGCCTCATACGACACGCATGCTTACGGAGGAAAGATTCTTTTCCACTTCCCCATGGACAATAGAAGAAATAAAAAAGAACAAGAGCTATTTAGAAAAAGGAGAAAAACCTAGATGTATGTATATATATATATGCATGTGCGTGTCTATGAAGTGTGACCAAAGTGTAAGTAGGAGTAGCAAGATATCCCTGTTATCTTAGCGTGTTTATGAGACAGAAAAAGAAACCAGCAATCCTACCATCATGCAAAACAGTTACAGGTTTTTGTTTCACAGTCATCTGGCAGGACGGTAGTACTTCCCTGGGTGGTTGCTGTCTACCAACCTACTACCTATGCCTTTGTTTTGTTTAATTGTATTCGAAACAGCGATCAGTGCTGATTCGAGGCACTTGCGTCTGCGGAAATTAGTTTCTTTGATCACTAATTGGGCGTCTCTGAATTTCATGAGATGATTGGTGGAATTTTGGTGTTATACACAGGCGTTGTTCAGGTTATCATTCCTACATGCGTAAATGTGTTCATTGAGGCGGGTGTCGAGGTTTCTTGCTGTTTCACCTACGTAAATCTTGTCACAGCCTCCACAGGGTATAGTGTAAACTCCTGCATTGACTGGTTCGTGGTGCCACAATAAAATGTCACATTAGTTGCACTTGTGTCCTTTTACTTTACATATTGTCGGTAATTCTACCAACTCCTTAATCTTGTTATATCTTTGAAAGTGCCTCTACTTCTTTAGCCTGTTTAGACCTCTTCATTTTTTGTTTTATCATATCTCCTCTTATTCTTTGTTCTTAAGTTACCCAAGCCCCCACATTCTATCTTATAGTACATTCTCTGATTGGTACCTATATTGGTGCATTCCATTGCACTTTCTTCAATTCCACTTTATTTTACTATGTGAGTGGTTCTGTGATGGTGCT